TCAATCCCGCAATCTCGACGGTTTATACCGGCCAATCCCGATCCCCATCATACAGTTTTGTCTAGTTTTTCGGGATTCGGGATTGGGCTTATTTAAAGGCCGGGATTCGGGAATTTATGAGGGGAGCAAGATGCGGGATTGCTATTGTGAACGGGACACAGGAATCGGCGATTTTGAGGAACAAGATTCGGGAAATACTCACTTAAACGAACAGAGAACTAGGATGTCCCATGTTGAGAATTTATTAAAAAATTGATCTTCTCAGTCCATGAAAAGTACCACTCGTAGAGGCCTGGTGCTTTTAACTTAGCATTTAAGAGGCGGTCGGGCTGTTCAGCGACACTCTTCAGTTATTGTGCGGGTATGACAATTATATCTGAAGCGAAGTCACCAATTTACCAGAAACCCTCAATGGCCCACAGGGAAACGTGGCATCGAAGAGTGCTGCGTCAACTAATACGCTTAACGGTGTTGAAAAACCCCCCAGCAAGTCTCAGAATTTTACCGATATGACGCTCTTAACATACTGAGTCAAATGAGACTAGACGTGAAGAATATTCGCTCGGTAGTGCATCACAAGGATAAACTTTTGAAATGCAGCCAAAAAGGCTTGAAGAGGACAACCCACTGGGCGATGTACTATTTTAGAAATCCAAATTCGAACGTGCCATGATCCTGTCGGCCATACCAGTAATAGTCAACCGTTATCACCAGTACCGATGGCACCACAGGGCATACAGAAGATGAGGGACTAAGCATAAACAACGGTGGCAAGGAACTCCGCCGTCGTAGCCTGGCGAACCGGTCAGCCTCGAACGCTAACTTCGAGGAGTAGCAAGAAAACAGCGGGAAACGAGACGAAGGGGAAGATGGAATATTTGAGTGCGATTCCACGAGTGATGATGGTGACATTCCATCTTTGCAACGAGAGGCTGATTTTCATCTCAGAAGGTGTTCCCGCTTCGGAAGAAGTATTCACTTTAACAGCAGAATTGTGTTCAGTCAATTCTTCTCCATCCCCCTTGTCATGGAACGATGGGATTGACGTCACCTTTTGTGTTTTATGCACTTGTTGACATTGCTATTCGTTTCTTTTATACTGACCTGTCTGTACTAATACTTTTATCCCTTGATCAAACTTTAACGGAAGGAAGTCATTACCATGACTACAGCGTTCGTTACAACGAACAATACTTTGAAAACTTCTAAAATGAACGATATCATCATTTTGGCTAAAAGAGATAAACCTACACCTTACGGTGACCATAAACTTCAACAGATCAATGCAAGTTGAGAAAATTATCACCCACCGAAATGGCCCTGTTAGGGTTACGAAATCCAATTAGAGACCTTCATATATGCCCATATATGGGCATATATGGCCTTATGGGAAAATACTCAATCCCTGATTTCATGCCAGTGAGACACTGGAAAAAGGTTCAGTGCAATAAGTCTTTTCTTGTACGGAATTAGGGTATTTGGGAATCTAAAATAAAATTTCTGGCTCGACGTTGAACTCCCTCGATTGCTTGTAGACCACCACTGTGCAGAGGCGGCGTCCACACTTCACCAGAATGTCCGACATAGGATCGCACAAGGCTCAGGTAGAGAGAGCGCTTGACTTTGGATCCGAAAGGAGGGTCAACTGTTTTGTAGATGATGCTTTGGATAATATGGAAGAGACGTGGGAACTCCAGTTAAGGTTTGCATTGATAACTTTACCAATATTTTTGTGTGTCAGTTTGCAATACGACGTGATTCCCAATAAAAACAAAGCATCTGAGTGACTGTTAAACGGCCACGCAGGAATCCGTGTTGCTAAGTAAAATAGGAAATGCAGGTGGTTAATACATCTTTTGAAAATACGTATTTCAAGCACTTTGGGTAGGATACAGAGCAATGAAATAGGCTCGTAATTTTCCACTAGTTCGTTATCTTTTTTTCTTGTGGATAGGTATGACCAATGGTTATTTCCACAATTTAGGTACCGTACCAAGGTAAGGTTTAGGTACCGTGATTTGTCAAAAAACTTGCATACGCAAAAAAAAAAAATCAGTCGGGAGACTGACAGGTTCATAGGTTTTGCTGATATCTAAGTCGCGTAGCAATGATTCTACTACGGAAAAGGTCAGTAGGATGGAAGATAACATTGCATTTAAGTTCAGTATAGAGCTCACACAAGGTGGTGGATCAGACGAAAATGAAGGGAAAAAGTAATGATTACACGCTTCAACCTGACGAGCTAGAGTACAAAGAAACTGACCGCAATATTTAACAATGGTAGGTACTGAAGGTAATTTCCTTTTACTTTTATGAAACGACCAAAAATTTTTTTTGGATTCCCGTGAAGTGACGCTTGAAAGAGTCTGTGTAGTCGTTACATTTACTGTAGATTAGCAACTTGCATTCACAATAAAGAGTACAGAATTTTTCACGATAGTATTCACCATTAGTCTTTTAAGTTTTATTTCTGACGTTTTGCTTTCGGAGCAAGTGATTAACTTGACCAACAATCCATAGAGGAGAGTTGATACTCTTGAGTTTTACTTTGGGTATGTGCTCGTCAATGAGAGATGTAAGTTGAAATACCAATTCTCAAAGTTCCCCATTTAGGGTGGTAGAGATCAGGTCAGTCAAGTCTGCATCGCGAAACTTTTTTTGGAAGGTTTCAGAATCTGCTTTCTTGAAATTATAACCAGTGCAAGACTGTTTTGGTAATCGAGGAATGCGGAGAGTAACATTGAACGTCCCTGGAACGTGGTCCGTATGGAATGTTAGAACACTTACATGCATAGTTTCGATGTTATGAAATGAGTTAGGTTCGTTTGTGATAATGATACCCAGGATATTTGCAAGGCTACAAGCATGAAAAATGTATACTATATTATACATGTAATGGCAGGGCCACCAACAGAGCAAACCTCGACAGGTATCTTTTAAATCTAATGGCTTCACTCATGAGCAAAGATGAAATCCGTGCTTTTACTATGAACTAAAGTACTGCTTTTCTTTAAATAGATTGATTGGCTGACCTGTTGCGTGACTCTACAAAAGACGTTTTGTTACAGGTAGAAATCGCTAAAGGAATGCTTCCCTTCAGCTACATAACAACCCTGAAATGATTTTAAGCACACCTTCGATTATGGCTCTAACATACGTAAGCCTTCAGTCGCTCCGTGATTGGATGCAACCGATATGTGCCATCCTTCCGCCCACAGAGTTTCTCATCTGGCTATCGTCTGTATGTTTACCCTGCTTAGTCACTGAATGACTGAATCTATTTAATGGTTATAAAAAAATAGTACCGGTAAAGCTAAGGAAAGGTACGTTTATTCTTGGGGGGAAGGGCTTGGGCCTCAGAGGGGAGGGTCATCAATTAAAGTGAGCACCAAAAGGGGTCATACCTCTTTGTAAGCTATTCAAGGGGAGGGTGATACACCTTTTCCAGAATTTTTTTATGAGGATTTTTGTGATGTTGCTTTTCATTTTCTTACAGATCAATTTTTTCTTTTCACCGACTTTGATTATATTTAGTGTTTTATTATAGGTTCTTTGATCTCTTTTCATTAAATGTTTTTGTTTAATTGTACAAACAATTGTACATGTCTGTTGACATAGAGATAACAATGATGGTTAGAACTCGGGTAATCCAACCACTGTCCGCAGTGCAAACACATCCCAGCTCAGCTCTGAGTCAAATTTTCAATTTCAGTCATTGCAGTGTAACTCTCAACATCGCTGGAAACCATTCTTCCCGAGAAAGTGTCGGCCAGAGCATGCTTAGTTACCAGAAAATTTCTTCGTTCAGAATCTGACTCCGATTTAGGTGTATTGTTCAGATAAATACATTTTGAACCTTTCTGCTGTTTGCGGCAACGATTGATCGATTGCAGTTTAACTGAATTAAGCCGTGTAACGTTGTTAACTGTATTTTGAGAATAAAAATGTTCATTGGATCTATTGGTCAGTTACGTTTGTGGCGGCATTGAAAAGGCTTCATCGCGGGGACATCGTGCTCGAATGCAATCCCCTCAAAAATTTTGCCTTTAAGTGATGAATAAGAAGTCGCAAGTGCCCTCAGGCAATTAAGGATAAATTTCACTTGTATTTTCAAAGTTTTCCCAAAATTTCCCGAGTTGCTCCGCGACTCGGGAAATTTTGGGAAACTTTGAAAATGCAAATTAAACCTCGTTGCTTATTGCTGTTGGCGCTATTTTTGGTCAAATCGACCCAGGAGCCCTTCCTGAGTTGGCAGCATAGTCATATCACCACTCCTACTTATCACCTGTTATGTAAAAACGTACTGACTCACCTTACTAAGAATTACTTACAATTTGAACCTGTGTCATAAAAGCTTTGTCGCTTTACATCTTGCGTAACAAAAAAAAATAATAATCCACGCTCTTGGAATACAATAAGATACTTTCAAGGTGTAAATTTACGAGAACGCGCGACTGCCAAGTGACATCAATTATACCCTTAAAAATATTGGTTTGAACGCTTCCAAGCCCGCAAAGAATCCAGCAAAGCATAACGACTACTTCATACCTTAATTTTCACTTTCTTGCAATTCTACGATCCATCAAGGGAAAGCCGATTAGAATGGCGGATCGCCTATTGAACACTACCAACAAACGTAAACGGTAATGCTAATCAGTTTTTATTAAATTTATCCAAAAAACCAGTCACCTGCCGACAAAAAGATAGGTCAGTGGACCATAGATGAAATCACTTTTTCGGTTTATTAAGTCAGTTATGTTGCGGAACCACAAACAAAGCATGTGGTGCATAATGGGCGAATCAAAAATGAACAATATCTATAATGTACTGATTGAAAACATTTTCAGCTGCCAAATTCGAAATCCTTATAATTCGAATAGCACTTTGCCAGAGTGTTCCCTCATTTTCCACTTGACATCAGTTCACCATAAGGACAAAGGCATATCATTTCAGTATTTTTCTGTAAATTAAAAAAGCGTCTGAGTCCATCGAGGAGAAAAATGGCAGATCCCAAATACCGCTTAACAATGGAAGAGAAGATGCATCTTGATGGAAATTCAAACAGTCCTGACGGCCATATAATACACAGTAGAAAACGGGTGCAAAGAAATGGATGTAGCACTTCAGTACTTGTGTTTGTGGTAGTTCTGCTTTCCCTGGCCTGTATCAGTCTAGTCATATTTTTGGCAATAGAAAAATTGCAAAGGAACGATGAAATTCGAAGCTCGTTTTGTAGAACCGTCCTGGGCACATCTAACTCGAGTGGGAATGTGACGCCACCATGCACAAGTGTCCAATGCATACTCGCCTCTGCCAGTAAGTAGCACTTGCTAACCAAAGTCATTTTTATTGAAAGCTATTACGACGCTTAGGATTTTAGAACCTTTTTATTCTAATGAACGGCGCGAAAAAAAAAAAAAGATTAGATATTTCCCAACAGAAAGAAAATGGCTTACTTAAGGTTGACTAGCCAGCCACCATAGTTACACTTCGCAGATTTCTTAGGCTAGAGAGTCTTTACCATTGGTTTGCTTTCTTGTGAGATGAAACCTGCTAAATTCACTTTAAAAATCTTTCTAACAAATGGGTCGGAAAATGCTTCCAAAGATGTAGCTGTTAACTTTTGTTCAAAGTAATTTATACAAAGAAGGATTGGGAAATTGCCAAATTCGACACTACGCTAACCAGTGAATTTCCGGATTTGTTTTTGTCGCAATTTGTGTCCTGTGGATAAAGTACCAAGTTAATTTTTGCTATGATCGTTAAATTTAATTAAATATAGTATGTTTTACAAAAAGTAATATTAAAACTCTTCTTTTTCTGTTGGGGATACGCCACATGAAGATATGTAAAAGAGTATCTGAAGAACTCTTGCGATGTGTGTTTGCGTGTTGCTATATAAGTCAAGATGAGCGTTCAAAAACCTGGAACAATCCTGCTGGATACCAGCAAGTGGCTACAAAAAGTTGCCATGTTTTAAACCTACTTAGTACTCAAACTCCATGCTTCTCCCATAAAGGGCTGTACTATCATTGCTTGACAGTGATGCGTTGATGACTTACAATGATTTTAACATTTTCATGAGTTCTCTCTACCTTTCATTCAAGCGTTATAGTTATATTTACATCAGACTATGTTTTCATCTCCTTCCTATTTGTAGTAGCAGCAGAGTTAACTTTGGATAGTTAAGACCTTGAATATTCTCATCTAGGCTAATTACCAGTGATGCAAATGTCCAATAAATCGGAAAGGTTTTTTTGATAAATTGATTGTAACTGAAGTAATCCTTAGCCCCTTTTCAGTTCAAAGTTCTAAATTTTATTCATCTGTGTTATATTTTCCCCAACTCACCAAGCAACGGGTGGAGCGGCAATGTGACAATGAAGACAAACATTACTCGATAGCTTTCGCTAACAATAATGGTTCGCTGGGAAACTGTAGCAGAATTCATTTTATCCAAACACGACGATTTCAAAAGTGAAGAAACGTTCCTCTCGTAGGTCCTTGACGTGAACGTTGCTACAGCTTTTCTACCGATATTCATCGCAAATCTGTTGATTAAAACAATTGTATTCATTTTTGATCAATTATCAAAGGCGAATCAGTCGATGCACATCTGTGCGGTTTTTCTTTGTGGAGTCATCCCATTAGAGTAATCTATATTATGAGCCACTATGGTCAGGCTTACGCATATGGTTTTAGACTCAGAACAACTGTTTACCTTGTTTGATTCTCTTGATTCTTTAAAAGATATTCTGCGTACAGTCGACCAGAATGTAGATCCGTGCGAAGACTTTTTCCTTCACGCATGTGGCGGCTGGATCAAGAGCAACCCTATTCCACCTAATGAACCACTCTGGAATCAAGTGCTTGCTCTCAAGAAAAGAAATGACCAACTTTTGAAGAGGCTTCTCGATGACAAAACAGTCAGAAAGAGATATATCGTGGTGAGTGACTCATTTTATAACTTTATTGCCAGTTTTATATTAGTTTCCAGATTGCATAGATCGCATTGAAGGCAAGATTAAGGGGTAAATCATCCCTTTCCCCTACTATCGATAATATTTATAGGACGTAGCCTCATTAGTTCCTCTTTGATTAGAATGATGCTGTTCAGAAGGCCTTCCTATATTACGATTCCTGCACTGACCAGGACGCCATTGAACATGCGAAAGGGTCACCTCTTCTTGAATTAATTGCGAGGTATGGATCATGGAATATCACCAACAAAACTTGGACTTCCGACTCCTGGAATTTTGCCGAGACTTTGGTTCGTATTCACAAAGAGCTCAAACTCTCGCCACTGTTTACACTTCAAGTAAAACCAGATCTGGTGGAATCCTCGCGCTACGTCATAATGGTATTGAAGTTTATTTTCGAATGATTTGAAATCCATCAAACTCGGTTGTATTTGAAGTAGTTATAGGTCTTATTATGGTGGATAATTTTTGTCAACATCAACATCCGTTACCACAACTGAAATTATGAAATTAAATGAAGTTATGATCCCGGCAGGTGAACTGCAATTAAAGAAATTGCAAGAAAAAAGACATAGCATCCTATCTCATTCATAGCAGCGCATTACACCTTCACTTGATTAACACCCGCAAGGTCACGACTCGTGTTCACATGATTCTGAAAAGCTAATATCTTGGATGACAAAAGGACTGAGGCGTAGCATGCATTTATCGTGAATTACGTGCCAAAGTTAATCGAGCGCTGAAAGTGCAAATCGAACCACACAATTTTTCTATCTCGGAACTCGGAAATTCTATTCCCTTCGTTGTCCAAAAAAGGTCTTACCTTCCCTTGGTGAAATGACTCTCAGTCATACATTTGAAAAATTTATTAACTTGACAACTAGTCGTTTCACTTTGTTGCCGATATCTTTTTTTATTGTGTTCGTGTTACTACAGATCTTCGAAAACAGTTTGCTACGGAGTTCCTCCTGACCAAATCTAAATTTCTCTATTTCAGCTTTTACGACACATTCTCGATAATAGTTCATAAGAGAGTTTCTCCTGACTAAATCAAAATTTTCTTTAATCCGTTTTGTTGACGGACTCTTTATATCAACAACTACCCCTTGCTAATCCATGATAAGCCTCAGGAATTTGGCAGCGTGTTAAAGAGGAGCAGTCAACTTACAAAAATACTCCCTCTGCGGAAACTAATTTTTGTCTAAAGAAAACTTAAATGTTTAAATCCATACTTAAATGCTCAACTCATATTGCAGTTTTCCCACCGGTAACCTATTCTTTTATCTTTTTCAGATAGATCAAACGACTCATACCATTACAAGAGATGCATACCTCGCTAATACTTCCTACCATTACCAAGTAAGTGATAACGATCCCTGATAGATATGATGTACAACGTATCTGTCTCATCACGTCCAAATACCTATACTATTTTAAAAGCACCTACTTTTTATTGCGGCTGGACTTTTCGGAAATATTTCCGACTAAGTTGTATTCTTCTGAGAACTATCAGAAATCTAAAATACATCCGAAAAAAATCATCAAGAAGGCCTCCATCGGTTAACTGTCAGCCCTCCAACAGCCTGAACTTTAACCGGCAACGGTAGAAAAAAGCACCACTTTCAGATTGAATGGCTTTCTTACTTAATAACTGTTTCTGACCATGTCAAGCCGCGTCATTCCTGACATTTACCACATAACACTGAAAAAACTTTGACATTGAAAAAACTCAACCAGACCTGGAGCACTTATGGCTGGAGCTACTAAGGAGAAACAAACACAGTAAACTGTTGCTTGAAGTTATTTACAGGTCAGACTTACTGATGACGGGCTAGAGTGTTTCGAGGACTTGCTTGGTCATATCACATCCACGTGGAATGGCAAGGTAGTTCTTACAGGCGATATTAACTTGATGTTATCGGTCGCCCTGACTCTTTCCTTACGCGTTACAGTAATACCTTAGACATGTTTGTTATGAAGCCGATTAGAGTCACTAGGACCTCTGGAACACTGATTAATCATATTATTACTAACCTCCCAATGCGCATTTCTGCCACTGATGTCATTGCTACCAGTATTGTAAGCGACCACGATTCTCCGTTTGCCTGTATAAATGTGGGTGTAGATCGGTATCTGAACATCGTATACTCATCTGATAATCCAGAGGAACAGTTTGAACACTTAAACAGCATGTTTAAGGAGTGTATCGAGAGACATGCCCCTCTTCGGAGGGAGAGAGTTACGAGTTTCGGATAGAGGACTGCCAAATACGGTCACTACTACAGCGGGACGTCAGAAACAAGTTGAAGGCAGCTATTCGTCGGGCTCGCGAGACCTTCACAAGGCAGGCGTTATCCTCTAATAAACCGAAGGTGTGGCGTATTATCCACCGCATACTGAAACCTAACCAGCAACCCTTGCGGCAGGATCCTGACAGGTTAGACTCATTCTTTGCTTGTACTACCGGGAGAACTTTACCTGTTAGTTGTGACTTACCTTCCTGTCTTAAAGAAGAAATTGAATCTCTACCTGATGATAGCCCTACTAATTTCAAGCTCCGAGAAGTGCCCCACAGCGAGGTCCTGAGCGTGCTGAAATTGTTAAGATCTGATACGTCTACTGGCCCCGACGGTATCCCTGTCCAATTCGTTAAAATGGTGGCTGAATCCATTGCTGGTCCCCTCACAACTATTATCAACAAATGTATCAGGAAGTACTATTTTCCTAAGGCGTGGAAAAATGCGAGGATCAGTCCAATTCCTAAAGTCGATCAACCGAAGTCTGAGGAACACTTTCGTCCCATTTCAATTCTCCCCACATTATCAAAAGTCTTTGAGAAACTTGTCGCGCTGCAGATGACCACCTTTTGTGAATCTGGATCAGTACTCCGCGATACAATTTCTAGCTTTCGTAAGGGACACTCGACCAATACAGTGCTAATGGCTATGCGCAACGATTTGGTAAGAGCGATGAAAAAAGGTGAGGTTGCTCTCATAGTGCTGGCCGATTTCTCTACAGCGTTCGACACAGTCAACTAAAAGATTCTTATAACTAAGTTATCAACGCTTGGTTTCTCGAAGCCGTCTCTGTGCTAGTTGAATAGCTACTGAGTGACCGGTCACATTTCGTACAGATCGATGATCGTATATCTGAATCAGTGAACGTACGGTTTGGTGTGCCACAGGGGTCGATCCTCGGCCCAATGTTATTTAACCTCTGCGTTTCCGATCTGCAAGATCATCTCCCTTTCTCGATTGGTTCATTTCAATACGCTGACGATACTAAAATAATTATACCAATGGAGAGGGGCACCTTTCAAGACTGTCAAGTTACTTAATGCCCTTTCGGCAAATATGAGAAACTGTAGCGATTTCAAAGTTTAGTTAAGGGAAGTTAATGCCTATTTATTAAATCACATTTATAAATAGTTTGTAAATTGCATATAGGGTTGTATAACTATTAACAATCTCTGTTATATTTTTATGCAATATCCTTTTACAGTCCGATGTTATTGCTTTTTATATTGTAGATTTCATGCTTTTTTAATCGTTTTTCAATATTATATTGTAGTTTTTAACAATCCTCCGAAAACGCTAAAATCTCGAAAATTCGAACTTGTAAACGCTTTGGGGTTGTTTTCAGGGCCATCTGTGATAGTTTGCATGGTGTATCTTGAATTACACAACCTGCTTTTCACTTACAGGCGCATTCATATCCTCCGCATAATCAAACAGGCACTAAAAAATGTATATTTGAAAGGGTAAAGATCGGCAACTATGACAATAACGACGCCATTTCTTACCGAAAAACTATTTTTCCTTTTTCATGGATAATCTTAAGCCATTCTAGAACATTTTGGACGAGTTTGAGCTTATATTTTAGAGAAGATTTCCTTTTAATGTCTTTCTTTGTGGTCCGCTGCCTGCTGATATGTTATTGATCGTGGGCATCCACGCTTCTGGGATTTCGATTCCACTGTCCCTGTTGAAATTGTTACTGTGAAGTGTCATATAGATGGCCTCTTTCACACTGCGTGTTAGAAATGGGTATCACAATCAATGAACTTTACCTCGTTCTAGAGCGGGTGACATCCGTTATTGTGATTGTGTACTGAAATGGCGTAGATTCTGGTCTTCGCGAGTCGTACATTCCTGCCGTGTTCTTTGATTCTCTTGTATAGATCTGCCAGTATCGCTGATGAAGAATTCCCCGCACTCACAGAGAATCCTGTATAACATGTTTTGATCCTGCATAGCCGGGTTGACCACATGTCTCGGTAGTAATATGTGTGATCATAACGTAGACTCCAACTTTTAAATAGCGGCGAAGTTGTTCGGAAAGATCTTTGACAAAGGGCAGGACTGTGGTGGATCTGCTAAGTACTGGTCAGTGTGTGTCGGTTTGCTGTGTGCGCCGGTGGATAGACGTCTATCAGGTTCTCTTGTACTGCAGTGTCAAGGAAGGTGAATTTGGTGTTACCTTCCGTTTCCCTAGTGAAGTGAATGGAAGGCTGTTGGTGGTTTAAATCAGTGTAGGAAGCTTTTTACGCGCTCACGGACAAGATGGCAAAGATGTCTGTCGGATCTTTTTTCGAGCGCTGATAAGTCTGTTTTCGATCAAGGAGAACATCTTAGTCCGATAGGTGTCGGTGTATAATACCACGTCCTTTGTCTGCTGGTAGAACTATGATAGACTGGTCTTCCTCTAGGCGTTTTACTGCGTCCTGCATTTCTTCGTGAGGTTAGGCTCCGGTTGTTTTACTTGTGAAAGGATTCCGTTGAGAGCTCTTCTGACAGTGCCCGCCTGTTCGGGATTGAGTGATCTGATCCCTAATTCAATCTTGCAAATAGTCTCTATAGCAAGTAAGTTGTCAGGAGTACGGCGAAATTTAGGCACAGGGTAAGGCACAGGGTAAAGCACATGAGCGCTCGGAGCAGTACGGGTCTTACGATAATTGTTATTTGTAACTTCTCTTTTCTGTTAGGAAATTAGTGTTTTGTATCTTGTAGATAACGTCAATAATCGTTTGGGTAATCAAAGGTATTACTTAGATTTTAATTACTCTCGTTATTAACCACTTAACAACCGAGATTGAGGTCATTACGGGATAATCTCAAACTGAGGCCTTCCTTGCCGTATTGTTCGAGCGATAGCGACCGACAGTCGTAGTTATTTAGTTATTTATAATATGGCTTATGAAGAAGAAGAAACGAAAAACTTATTCAAGCGGAAGTCGTCAATTTACATCCGGCGATGCGCACGTTTATACAATCATTCATCGACTCAAACCCTCGGTTAAACTACGTAATCAGTGAACTACACCGGTGTATCACGTATTCTGGCAGGAACACATTTATTTTCGGAAAAGATGATCTTCTATATAGAGGTGTCACAAATAAATTTTTGCCTGACTTTCAAGGCAAACGTCAACTAGAATGCATACAGGAAAGACAGAAAAGTGCTTCGAAATTGTAGTCCAAATTAGTCCAAACAAACACGTACGGCCTCTTGGCAAAAAGATACAAATCATCGGAATGCATTATTTAAAATATTTTAGTCTTCGCTTTCGACTTCATATCTCCGCCTTCTAAGAGATTTACGGATGACGTTTACAAGCTTTTTGAACATATAAAAACAACTCCATGTAATGAGCAATACTACTGCCAACAGGAACCGCTCGACTGTTTACATCTGATGTTACTGGAAGCTGATTTAAACTTGCTGGTGTTATGGAGTGGTAAATTATTAATGATAACTACTAAACTAGCTGTGACAAAATTAAAAAAGAGGAGAACCACCGCGGTACTTGTGTGATCTGTTGTGCTCCTCGTAATTTACATAATCCGTAAGCGGCCCGTGGGCATTACCGCTTACAATGCACGGCTCTGCTCTTTGTCGTAGCCAATCAGCGCACGTTATATCGGCCACAAGCCGAAGCCATATGATTATTTATTTTATCATATACACTGCGGTGTTATACAAGGATTTCCAGCCCCGAGAAAAGCCGTAACAACGTGAAAACTATGATATTTTTTCACGAGTGATTGATATCGCCAATCAGCTGCTGACACGTCACTCGTTCTTCGCGCCACCCGATCAAGTTGATAAATAAACGGCAAAGCCTTCAACATTCTTAATCCGAGGTCGTTTGCCGGAATATTTTCGGGTTATGGATTATGGCTGCTAAATGATTAAAAAATTGTAAAAAAAGGTCTGCCAACTTTCTGACACTGTCCTGTAATCTTTTCGCATTGTCTTGAGGATTTACAGGAACACTGTGGTTTTGATGGTTATCTACAAACTTATTAATAAGTACGTAGGCCAACCTATTAAATAAAACTTTTGGCATAATTTTCATGTTTTGCTTGATAAAATGTTAATCTTAGCCTTTTCTTGAACAACGAAGGAAACTGTTGTGACCTTCCTATTATGTAAAACTCCATACATTTTGTTTTGTTGGCTGTAGGTAAGAAAAGCCTACCAGCAGCTTATGTCTGAGTTGATCAACCTGATCGGTGGAGAGACTAAGTGGGCCGAGCACCAGCTTAAAGAAGTGTTTGAATTTGAACAGGACCTTTCTAAGGTAAGAAATAAATTTCTCCAATTAACTGATCAAAAATCAGTTAGGAATTTTATTTTGAAATTTTAAAGGTAGTTCCATCGAAAACTAATCATCGTGACAAATGAGGATACATTATTATAGAGAGAGTAACGGCCATTTTTAATTTTTTCTTTGCTCAAGCTATCCGCAACTGCTAACGAGAGAGCTGACAGAAGTAAGGTATACAAGTTAATGACTTTGAAAGAACTTCAAAACAAAACAGAAAAACCGGTGAGGATTAGCATCGCTGAAAATTACGGCGAATGGCTTGGTTACATTGTTTTAATTTGATGGATAACCTTAGTTATTCGATACCATGTAATCGATCAAATACCTTGTATTCTTGTCGTAGTTTATCTTCTCGGCATATTCTTTTGTTTTTTTCACTGGCCTAACCAGCCTAAAGCCTAATGTACCCGACCTAAGATAAACTTATAAAGCAATTTTTTATGGAGTGTTGATGAACCAAAGAAAGGTAACCACAAAAACTTATCAGAACAAAGTTCAACATTATCATTAATCAATGAAAACTCAAAGGAAAATAAATAACCTGCTTAGAGCGCGGGGAAACGCGAATGATCGAGCTGGAATTGGTTTTTAGTTTTTTATTTGATGTATTGATAGGGAAGTGTGAGTTTTCTTGACCAATCACAGAGCGAAGTAAAGCAGAAATTAAGCAATCCAAGATCAACTTCGACACTCAATTGAAAATTACTCTTTTGTTGTGCCACTGCTATCATCACCACCACCATCACCACTACTACAGTCCACTTCCGTTATTCCGAACACCCTCGGGGGAAGATTTAGTGTCCGTAATAGTGAGATTCCGTAATAGCAGGAAACGAGAGAAAAAAATCATTTCGTCTTAATGCATAAGAAATAAAATGTAACTACGTAAACATAAATTTTATACCGTGGCCACAAACAGATCCGGTCGCAAGCAGGAAATTTTCAAGTTCGCATCCAATTGAAGAATGGTGTCACTAGTTTCCTTTATCATAATGTTGCTTCATATTATGTGAGTCAGGATTTTGGACGAGTACTTAAGTGTCTGTTATAGCGAGAGAAAAAACAAATGAAATTTCGAGCTGGGGGAGGGGGCATGAAAGTGTCTGCATTTCCTTAATAGCGAGAGTCTGTAATAACGGGAGTCGTGTTGTGCACAATTTACTAGTGCAAAAGAAAGTCTTCAGAACCGAAAAGCATTTTCCTTGAGCAGCAGTTTCACTCTCAGAATAAATTTGAATAGTTCCCTTGCAGGGGTTATTTCACTAGGCTCAGTAGCTATAAACAGGATCTGCCTACCCATTTAATACCATTTCTCATCACAATTTCTTTGCATTTGGTCAATTCTCAAGGGTAAAACTATCTTAAATAAAAGTTAAGTAAATAATCTTCAGAAGGAATTTCTTTCTGAGTTTTGTGTTTAAAACAATGAATACTCAGTTAAAGTGGTTTTGGAGAGTTCTCATGAAGAATACCAATAATTTAGAGCGATTTGTCTTTAAAGTTAAAAGCATACAACATCGATACAAATTGGTACAATACAAGTTACTGAAAAATATATACTTACACGTGTGTAATCCGCTATTTCTATACTCGTAGATTGACTGGTTGTTTTACATAAAAGCAATGTTTCAAGACACCAGCTACGAAATAGAGCAAGACGAAGAGCTCGCCATTTTTGCTTTGGATTACTTGACAAACATGTCAAGTTTGATAACCAACACACCAGAAAGGTTGGTAACATTGAGTAATCAATTAACCATATTCAATTTGATAGACTTAATAAAAGTTGAAGCACTTTGAGTACTATCACGTCATCTGCGTCGCCACCCGGCTGCCGACCATTGCAAACATCTTTCAACATCATTTATATCTTGCCCATCTACCTGCTGCTAGTTGTATTCAGTTGAAGAAGTTAACGCTCGCTGGAGGAAATCTTTAACTCAGTTCCTATGCTGATTACTAAGAACAAGTTCAATATCATCAAAATATCATCGTGCAGTTCATCTCAGGCATTTATTAAGTGTACATTAAGTTGCGAAACATACCATGTTTTGAGATTTCAAAAAGCTACCTAACCGTTCAAAAATTTACTGCAAATCTACTAAATGGGTCGCTAACTTACGATCTAGTAGTTTCTCGCTTTTTTCTCTGTTGGTGATTTGTTTGTACAATTCAGAGATGAAAAAAAATAGGCATTCTTGGGTCCAGAAATGAATTAGTGATAACCAAAGCAGCAGTTCTTTGTGAATCGCACGTTGTGGCTTTTACTAGTTGATGAGTGTAAGGGCAACGCCTCTGAGGTATTTCAGAATGGGGCGTCATAGCCTAGTTTTAATGACGGTTGAATACAATTTTCAAATAGTTGGTACTCTTTTTGATGTAGACACTGCTAATAAGTGGTACGATTACGATCCAGAGAGACAGAGAAATAACAGCAAATCGTCTACGCACTGTTATCAAACGCAAAAGAATCGAGGATTTTACCCTCATAGATGTGGCGATACCTTTTGATTAGAATGCTTCCACCAAAGCATTAGGAATGGGACACTATGGACATTAAAACCATTCCTTTTCACCGTCGCTCCCAATTTCTAGTCATCAAACTTTCTTTCGAAGGCAACGGCCTATTCAACAGTGTGTGCTACAATGCTAATGATTCCTATGGATAACTGTTGTGTTCATCTTCACATCCATCACATGACAAGAATTCATTTCTTATTCTCAGTTTCTTTGACTTCGTCGCCTATATACTGAGGACTCTGATTTTTCTAAAAAGTCAGAAGCAATGTGCCAGTTTTTCCAAAAGAATGGCTACTCTGCTTCTCTCGTTCAAGATGGCCATCACTGCCAAACGTCATAGAAAGAGAGAAATCATTGAATTTCACTCTCACCCTCGCATTTCATTCTCACCGAATAAAGCAGCAAAATCCATCATTTTTTAAAAAACTTTAAATTGCTTTAAAATTACTCCGAAACTGGTATAATATGTAATATATTATACCAGTTTCGGAGTAATTTTAAATCAATTTAACCTCTGCTAATTTCATTCAAATACAACAAAAACATAAAAACCTTTTCCGTCCTTTCATTCGAAACGTTCAGAAAATATTGGGTCAGGACCCAAGCAATCTGTTAAGATCAGTGATCATTGTTTTAACCTGTACTTCCACCAATGTTATTTATTGCGTAACTTGTACTCAGTGCAAAAAGATGTACATAGGCGAAACAGGAAAACGACCAAGCAACCGATTCCGAGAACAGCTTCGTAACCTAAAGAAAGATGATAAAGACGCATCCAAACCAGTCGCTAGACAATTTCATTTCCCTATTCCTTCTAAGCAGCATATGGCAGTCTGCGGCCTTTCTCTGCCTCTAAGCAGCACGTGCACAATCCTGAAAATAATTGTGAGATCTTTATCGTCTTCTGCTGTTTCCGTAGTGTCACGGCAAGAACTAAAAACATAATATGCTAGTGTCTATAAGCCATAAATCACAAAAGGAAAGAACTCAACTGTGTAGCGAGTGCGAATTTCGACTTTCTAAAGTACACAAATACATACAATAGATAGCACCGGAAAACATCGGGTGAAAATTGGCTCAAGATTGGAATTCAATTGTTACGCACACTCGCCCATCTCGACGACATATGTGGCTTTAAGCAATCCCACTTGATGCTATAATTGAAACTCGCTCGAACAATTTTTCTAACTTCGATTGTGGGGGAGACACATGGATTATTCTTAGTTTTTCTGACCGCTCAATACAGGTGGAGAATAATAAAATGGGCCGTTGGGACTCAGCAAAGAGTGATTGCGACCGCTTAATAGAGGTGAAAATTGCGGAGATCAATGCAAAAAAAATCGTGGCTTTGGCAACTGACCGCTTGATACAGGGTGACCGCTAAATACGGTGCCGCTTAAAACAGGTTTGACCGTAGTTTTTATTTAAAACAGTCGATTATTTGGGACACAGTTCCAATGATTTCTCTCCTATTCTTTTATCAGGGTTCTTGCAAATTACATGATGTGGCAGGTAGTTGTTCAGCTGGCTCCCCATCTTAGTGAAGAATACCGTAGGGCTTTCTACAACTATCACAGGGTGGTTATGGGAAGCTCGGGCGAGACAGACATCTGGAAAAAATGTATTACGGAAATGAGTCGCCTTGACAATGACATTGGAGATCCTCTGGGAGTAATCTTCCTGGATGAGAAGTTTGAAAAAAAAGATAAAGAGTCGGTGAGGGCCTTGTTTCAGTGAAGAGAGTTTAAACACGTTTATTTGTTATTTCTTTGTAAGTTTGGGAGCTTTGTTCGACAGTCTCTTTTTTACTAGTTATAATTTACATGTGCGTCGAAAATAGCGGCTCCGGACCAGTCATCAAAGAATTAGTCCACACTTAGCGTGCGTATATCGGGTTATATATGCACGCAGGAAGTCTGGAGAGCACGAGAGAAATGCAAAACTTGCTTGAGGCGCAGCCGAAAAAACCTCTAGCTTTTTCAGTGCTCTTCGAGCTATCCAAGTGCATCCATAACTTGACATACGCACATTAAGGCTTGAAACAATTATTTTATTACATAGTATGCAGACACAAGTTGTGCTCGTAAAGAAAGAGTTTGTTACTACTGTGTCGGGTTAACCAGGTAATCGTGTCCCTCCCGTAAACTATGTTTAAATGACAAGGAGAAAACGACTAAGGAATATTTCGAGACCAAAGCTTATTCAAAGAATTGTAAATGTTCTACTCAGAAGCGATCAAGGAACGAATTTCTTGCATGTACGTAGTAAATTAAACATTCTTGAATCGTTATTTACTGGAATTCACGGCCAGAAATTTTCATAGTTTTGTGTTGAAAAGTTTGAAAGTTCTGAACAATACTTCAATACTTTGAACTGGTTAAAATCGCTGGTTTCATTAAAGAGAACGAGTATAAAAATTTCAGAAAAAATGCTCTCATTTAATCCTATGAACAATTTTTTAGGACGGCTTGATTTTACCTTTTTATTCTGTGTTACAAAGACGACAACATTTCAGTGGGGGTTAATACCTCCAACCAGTTCCCTTATACACTCAAAGCTAAGTACTTTCCGATTCATCCAAAATTAATCTGCCTATGACTTACTGTTTGAATAGGCCCGACGTCACTTAGTATCAGATATATATTCAGCAAAATTTTTGAAATTTTTAAGTTAATGCCATCAAGTAAACAAGAAGTTTGCTTTGCCTTTTTCAAGTAAATAAATCTTTGCTATTTCTTGTAATGATTTAACTATTTCAGGTAATGGCCATGATCGATGATTTGAGGGAAACGTTCATCGCTAACCTCGACAAACTTGACTGGATGGACAACAAAACAAGGGCTTATGCCAGAGAAAAGGTACATCTATAAACGCTGCGACGAAAGACTTCCATCCACTGCCAGTGCTTTTTTTAAGAAATTTACATGACTTTATATAATTCCTCATTGCTTTTAAACACATTCAAGGTTCTTATTTAATGTATCTTTTCTCGGCAATGGTTGTTAAAATTTCGTTTTCTATTCTTATAATATACCCAGATATTCCCGGATGCATTTCAATGGCGACCCTTATGGAATCCCCAAATTAATGAGAATTGTTTCTTCTCTAAGGTTTGCAAAGCAGTAAGAGTTGTTATCGAGTCGAGCTGCTATTGCGTAAAAAGTCGCTTTCAAGATTTCTTTCATTCATCGATGTCGTCGTAATGTTAATGATTATAGTGTTCTACAGCAATAAGAAACATCCGTATTTAACACAATGAAATATCAAAAATAGAATCAAGTTTCAAAATGGTGACAAATGCTGCGGAACTGTTAAGCTTACAGAGAACATCTCAAATTCAGTTTCTGATATTATACATCTAGCTGGTAAAGATATTTTACATTTGTTAGGTCTCGAATCGGGTCCTCTATTCATAAAAAGCATAATGCTGAAGGTGATACTTTGTACCAACCTGAATGATGTCTTAGAGTTGTCTGATTCCTGGCTCAACCTTCATTTTAAATCAAGAAATTTGATTTTCTGGATAGTAATCTTTGACAAACAACAAGCCAAGGGATTTAGGTGAACCATGGTTTCTTAATCGTCTGCCCAGTGGTAATGAACTTGCTATCGTTTAGTCAATTCGGCAAGAACTCACTTTGGGCTTTTCCTGAAACGAATTCACTACATAATCATTAATACGTTGTTCATTACACATAAATAAACCTTCATGTTATCACCCTCAGGCTTCTGCAATCAGACACAACATTGGGTACCCAGAATACATGAAAGATAAACGAAAGCTATCAGAGAGATTCAAGGACGTAAGTATAGAGAGGATATTACTTGATGGTGAGAAGATATGAGTTTTATTTGCGAGTGAGATATAATTCGTATCACGAGAACATAAAATACATAACTTGGAGCTAACATGTAATTTTCTTTTTATCACATGGACAATAAATGTATGTGGTAGAAATTCAAATGCTGGCTTTTATACAAATACTGGATATTATATAAACAAAATAGCCGGTGCCCAAATTATAAAAAGGTTCACATAACAACGCCCGTTGGTCAAGGTACATGTGAAGAGTGTTTTAGATCTCTGTAAAACACTCACGCCCATATACAATCTGTAAAGCACTTATTGCGCTTTACCATATATATGAAAGAGAAAAATATCTAACCGACTTAAGTTCTATAATATTACATATTTCATAGATCTCTAGAGTAGAACTTAAGAAAACTGAACAACTGTTAAAGTTAGCAGAGAGCTAACCTAAAATTATGAGTTCAGGTTCCGTTTAAATTCATTCAAAAATCTCGAAGCGCTAATGGTCCTTGGCAAAGATTTCCATAAGGATGGAGCGGCTAAACTAAAGGCTATGTCCGAATAAGTTTCAGTTTAGCATTTCGCTACCTGAAGACGGTTTGTAGAAGATGATCTAGGTTGTGTAGTGGGCCTGCACTGATAAATCATACTTGAAATATAGCTAGGTGCCTACACTTCATAGGTAATAAGAAGTAATTCAAACATATCATGCTCCCCAACATGGAGTAAAGCTCTTTGAGAGCTGGTTTATTGCAAGAAGAGGACTTACAGATGGCACTGACATGACACGTCAATGAATACAGCTCCACGTCAATTAATACAGCTCCTAGATTGGGATTCCGTCCCACTTCATATGTCACCTACCGTTTTTTGCTTTCTTTATTTTGCGTCACCATGAGCTACTATCAGCCGGCAAAATTCTTATCGTATCAGCGCTAATCGTATGGTTCCCAAAATACAACCGCAGGCAAAAACATTTGAATTTAAGTGCCTATGACACGAATGTTTTTTTTTTGCGTAAATATTTAGCTTATCACATGTACAAACCAATTCCGATAGAAGAAAAAATTCAAAAAGCCCAAAACACGGTTTTTCGGGCCCTAAAGTGTCCTTATTTTGTCTTAAAAGTGTCCCGTGGACTTATAACGAATTAGCGGGTGAAAACTGTGAAAACTCTCAGTTGATACTTACAAATCTCTCGCATTTCATGTAATTTTGTATCAATAAGTGTTGAAATACTCTTGAAATTATGACCGATAGCGATCTATACTTACCTTCAGCAAGCTCTAACGAGAGATGTGATACATCGTACTCAAGTGACACAGAAGAAATGGAAGTTGCGAGTACGGTTCAGCCTTACAAAGGAGAACCGCGTGCATCAAAGAAGATTTCGACAAAGACTGACAAAGGCGGTTTCTCGCCTGCGGTTTTCAGGTCAATACTAGAACAAAAAACTCCCGTTACAGAATATTTAGTTTTTTGCGTTTGTGTTTTGTTTTCTATGGCGAAATCTATGTTAAGAGTGGGTAGTGTGTTCGTTTCTGTTGCCATAACATTTCATTCCTTCGTGCTTAGTGCGGCAAAGGTTCCCCTTGCTCAGTGCTCTAGAGTTTGGTTGATGTAGAGTAATTCCTTTAGCAAACCAAAAGCGATTTTTGGCGAAAGAATCAGCTGTATCACGAGGCACGATGATTTTTCGCCGAGAAGTCATCTGATTCAATATAATCTCAAATAGGGATTTTAATAGACAAAAACGTCTTTAGTTTAAGTGCAGCATTGCCATGTGACCCACTTCGCCCAATGGGTAAATGAATATTTCGTATGCATCGACCTTCACGCAGCACTTGGATTCACTTCCATCTAATTCAATAAAACTTGTGTTTCTTTATTTATCTCGTTGCAGTGCTGTTATCACAACGACATTGCCATTGTTGCTACTTTTACTTCTTAGTTTCTTGTAACGTCATTTCACAGCATGTTTCAGATATCAGATATTATTCTCTTCCATGGGAAGATAAACTTAGGCACAAGAATGCGTTTATATGCTTTCCATTGTTAGTTGTAATCATTCCCTGAAGAAGTCTCCGTTAAAGACGAAACGAGAAATTACAACAACAAGACGTCTTCCTTTGTACTGTTAACTAGTCTCCGTCAAAAAAGTGTAGCGGATTTGCGTGTTACGAACGACACAAAATGAATAGCAAGTTTTCTTGATGGGTTAAAGATCTTTTGAGGGAAGGAATAGAAATCATGAAATTCCTAGTCTCAGTCATGTCTTATACTGCCTGTAATCGTGAAACTTATTGTCATACCGTTTTCTGTGTGTATTGCGTTAAGGTTTTAATTTACCTGTAAGTGTTTGTACGTTTTATTAGTTGCAATGTGTACTCGTGGTTGATCTTTGTACCATTACGTAACGTTACGTAATTATGGCAAGTGGTTCGTCCTGTGAAATTCAAAGTAATTGACACACGCTACTGTCACTCTTGCATGCTTCCTGACGGTTTCATACAACAGGATCTACATCAATGTTGTATCTTCTTATGAAGGAATCGTGGTGTGCCTTGATTTTAAATGAGAAGCATTTAGTAGATCACACTCTCAAGCTCTTGGTTGATGATGTGCAGCTGAGCCTCTGCGAAGATAAAGACGTGACATTTCACATTCCCTAAACCCGATGCCTTCCTGTTAATTGAGAGCTGAACTCCTTCAGTTTCTTCGTATCCACCGATCTCAATCCTGAACCGTAAAGATCGTTGTCCCTCATACTTCCAAGACAAATAGAGCACATCACTCTTCAGCATAAACGTCTGTTGCATTCATTGCGCTGTTTTCTTTCCAAAATCTTCTAAAAGACCCCTCACACATATACCCTCGACTGTAAAACCTTATTCGGTATTCCATTCACAACCACCTTTACCTCAGTGATGTCGGGATTGAATGTCTTCTCACTGTCTCTTGCTCCTATTGTGTGTGGCTTGTAGAGGAGAAGAAGTCCCTTCAGTGATCGCCTTGGGGCATTTACTGTTTCATTGATGATTGTGTCAGATCCCTTATCTATTAAGATTCCGCTTCAGAAAATTATGGAAAGCATCAGGAATTGAGAAGATGTGAGATTAGTCAACAATCGTTCGATGGCACGAAAACTTTACAGCAAAACCAAACTTCAAACATTACACAACACTCGAGGGAGACAAAACTTGTATTTGATAAGCCGGTCTACTGTGGAATGAGCGTCCTCGACAATCAGCAAGACACTGATGTGTGACTTCTATTATAACTGTACCAAACCAAAATATGAAGATCGAGCAAAGCTTCTCTTTACAGACACAGACACTCTCGTGTATGAGATTGAAACTGAATACTTCTTCAAGGATAAAGGCGGTGATGTTGAAGATAAATTCGACACAAGCAACTACCACAAAGATCACATGTCAGGGATCTTAACTGGCTGCAACAAGAAGGTTGTGGCCATGATGAAAAATGAAGCTGGTGGTAGGATCATTGAATAGTTCGTTGGATTGAGAGCAGAACTTTACAGCATCAAGATTCTTGAGGGAAAAGTGGAGAGAAAGTGTAAAGGGGTTAAGAAGGCTCTAGTAACGAAGATTATTAGTCATGAATACTACTAGGAGTGCTTATTCAGCGGAGGAAAGATTCAAATAAGGAATATAATTGCAATAAGATCACTTAAGCATGAAGTCTTCACTGAGACCATCAACAAGATAGCCTTGAGTTCAAATGATGATAAGAGGGTAATAAGGGAAGAGAAGAACTTTTGCTCGTGCCCACTATAAAATATGACTACTGACAATAGTCCATTCAATACATTAATGGTAGAACCAACAAATTCAGGAAAGACGAGATACCTGGTAAATATCTTGAGCAGTACCCTCCGAGGAAAGTTTCATCACATATTCTTGATTTGCCCGACATTCATTCAAAACATTACAAATGATGGTTTTGGAGAAAATGATAAGGACTTACTTATCTTGACTCCACTTCAAGACCAGATAGTCTTAAGAATAGCAGTTATCCATATTTATCCGTATGAGGGAACAAATATACTGATCATTCTCGATGAATGCGCTGCTTTGAGAAACGTGAAGCAGAGGACGAATGAGCTCGTGAATTTAGCATTCAGCGCAAGACACATTAGGATCAGTGTTCGGGGAATCACACAGCAAACGACAAGAATCGAAAAACCATTCAGAGAGAAGACCGCTGCATTAATAATAATAATAATAATAATAAACTTTATTTACGTGTCAAATAAGATAGCAGTTTCCCACTAAGTAAGGACACCTAAACTAAACTAATCTAATCTATATAAATTATGCATTAAAAATTTATTGGAATATGATAAAAGAGCTCTTCCCATATAAAACTACCCTACCCCGAAATAGTAGACCCCATGTTTATAATACCCTACCCTGTATTATATAATATAAGATAATAATAATTACAATAATATGATCTTGATAATATTTAAAATATTTAAGATTTACATAAAATACAGTTCTTGCAATTATTCGAAGAGATTAAACTTTGTATATCTACTTTGTGTAAAGCGTTTTTAAATTCTTGCAGCGTTCTTGGTGCTCTTATTTTTCCATCTAACTTAGACCAGATTACTGGACCTAAGTACCTATAAGAGTGCTTACCATAGCGCGTAGTACTAACTCTAGGGATAATGAAATCATTGTTCCTTAAATTATATTTGTTGTTATTAATAACAAACAGGTTCTTGATATTATTAGGG